CAAAATGATAAACTATAACATTAAATCAGTCGCTCACACATGACATCATCTTTTATCGCGCGATTTTATTCGGTAAGATCCGTCGGACTCGGACTCGGACTCGGACCAGACGTGGGGGCAGTATTTGGTGGTGATGCAAATGTGGTCATAATTTGTTCGCTATTCCAACACTTAATTAGACACTTAATACGACAATTCAATGTTGCCCCGCCGCAGAGTATAAGGCAGTTATGGAAACAAACTACTTTTGGGTCGTCCTGCGCTTGAACCGAGGCAAAAAACAAGAACACCATGATGAATATAACAACATTCATCTTTGTGTTCTTCATTTTAATTTAATAAAATGTATCTTGAAGGAAATTATTTCTTTTGCTAATTAAACTGTTAAAATGGACCCGGTTATAAATATACATGGAAGAGGATAGCGTAAATAGTTAATTTATGACATTAGGTTTTTCATTCTACCAATTTGTATTTCAGGAAAAGTTTTTCTTCCAAAAATTATAAATTTTAGTAAATCAGTTAACAATTTATCAAATTTCGTAATTATGTTTCATGAACTTTGTAAACATTAGAATAAGGTTCATATACATATATAGTTATTGTAAGTGAACATATTTTGTAACGATATTTTTGGTTATGTTCCATTTCTAGTTAAGTAGTCGTGAAACATTAATATAATCGTGTTGTAGATTAAGACTTAATTAAAAAAAGGGTTTGGGGGCTGCTGTAGCAAACTTACAGTTAAATATCAGTTATTATTTTTTATAATAAATAATACTTTATTTTAATATTTATTTATATTGTTGAATTTAGACTTTATAAAATTCTTATAATATAATTATATTGACTCACGAGTGAAAGAGTACTAGTTGTTTATTAATAATGAGCTTTTATCCATTCGTTAGTCAAACGTTCATATAACCGAGTTTGAATTTAGTTCATTTATCAATTTTTTACGTGTCAAGTTTGAATTACTGAGGCTTTAATTAAATAAAAACTATATTTTAGAATCTTAACGAGTTGAGATCTCGCTCGTTTAATTTGTTCGAATAAGAATAAGCCAAATCGAGCTCACAACTCGTCTCGTTTAATTGCTCTGATAACAACCAGTAATGGTAAAGTTAATGGGCAATTGATCGGTAGATGAAGCATAAGCAGTGCATGCATTATAGGTAACCACCAGTTGAAACTAGCGTTTAATAAGTGATTCATAAAAAGGTGGAGTGTACCATAAATACACTTAATAAAATATGTAGAGGCGGATATTTGTTCAAATGAGCATCATCACATTGTTGAATTAGGCAAATTGTCTAATGAACTAAGAAGTTCGAAGTTCATCAAGGTTTCTCGCACCAACAATTAAGATCCCATAATACATCTCAAGAAACTCAGCCGTCAAACAACAGAAAATCCCTTCCTGCATTCAAGAAATCAAGCAGACAGATAGATTCTAGTTTAGATCCAACTCTTATTAAAGGTCGGATAAAATTATCATCACTAAAAACAAAAAATATTGACTGAATGTAGCATTGTTATTGTATAACTGCAATCCACTTATCTCTTCCAACTCGGCACCGTCCAACAAAACGCGACACATCATGTCGTATGTATATATATTTATATGGTAAATATTTATTATGAGATATAATATTATTAATACTTTGATGTACAAATTTATATATATAACATTTAATTGTGTTACTTTTATGTATATTTATATGACAAAAATACAATATATATTTTTTTTAAAAAATTTAAAATTAATTATCCTGTTCAGCAATCGACTCGGTGGCGTGACGGTTGAACCGATGACTCGGTCACCCGCAGACCTGCCCGAATCGATTCCGGGTTTAAAAACTATGGTAGAAAGTAATGATTAAATATTTATGTTAATTAACTATAGTAATTAAATACTAGTACCAATTTGCTCAATCTTAAATCGTATTCCCCTCACAAGAGAGAACACGTAATTCAACTCAACACCTACACTCGTGAACAACCTAACAACTTTATTTTTATTATTTTCTTAACATAACAACTTTAACTTCAATACGTTTGGGATTTGGGCTGTGCAGATTTTCATCTTCATTTTGGATAATTCAAACGATTGAAATCCTTACCTAAACAGAACATCGGTGGGAATCAAACTGCCAACAACCCAAGCTTAAATGGGGTTTGGATTTCGGAGGAATTCCACGGACGACATGTCACTTGAGGTACGACTATTTTGTCTAATTTGTCTTGAGTTTTTCTTTTTATATTTTTCTTATATGATGTGATGTGATGGTGTGATATTGTCCCCATAGCTTAGTTTTGCCAGTCTTGCTGCTTGGTTTTACTTGTTTTTATTTATTATGTCTAGTTTTGTTAAGTTTGTGGGCTGTTGGCTTTTGCTGCTTTTAGTTTTTCTTCTGCTTTTGGGACATTTGCTTTGTGGTTTGGTTTTTTAGTTTCGCTGAGTTTGGAGTGGGAAGAAATTTATCTCTTTTCTTCCCCCTTATCTTCCTCTGTCTTTGGTTTTGTCCTCTTTTGCCAAAATTTATGGTTTTGGTAAAATAATAGATAGATAAATAAATAGTTGAAAATATTTGGATTCATTTTAATTCGTTTCGGCATTAATCAGGGTGCAAGTACGTGGTTCCTAGAGTGTTATAACCTTTTGAAGAGAGCCATAAGGTGTGATTCTTCTTCTGAATTGGTTTTTGGGTATGAAGTTACCCTTGGGAAAAAAAAGTTTTGCACTATCAACGTAAAATCCAGAAGAATCCGCGCGGTGAGTGGTCTAAGAGGCAAGCAGATTTTTAACCACTTTACAGGCAAGGTTGATAGCAAAGATTCAATGGAAATTGGTAATAGCTGCAACGGGTTAATCCTGGTACTTTATTCCAAAAAACACGTTCTTTTTAACCCTCTATCAGGCAGAATAGCGTTTGCAACGCGCAAACTGCCTGAATGGCATGGCAGCAGGTGTTGTGGCTTCTTCTACCATCCTCTGGCAAGAGAATACCGGCTTCTCCATATGACACAAATAGGAAATAATAGTTACGAGTACCACATTTACGAATTCGGGGCCCACAAGTGGAGGACAATTCCGACTCCCAAATTTTCTCACTATTATGCCCCTATAAGCACCGCGCAATTGGTGGTGACGAAAGAAGCTATGTTTTGGTGGGAATTTTGTTGCTTTACGGTTTTCGACATAAATACTGAGAAGCTATGCTTGAAAAGGTCTCCCCCCTTGGGCCATGATGCTGATCGAAAAATGGTGGTGGCCACAGGAGGTGAGGACTTGTGTTGTTGTTACGTTCGTTATGCGGAGACTGTAGTGGACGTTTGGGTTCTTGTGGACTACACAAATTGGTTATGGGAAAAAAAGTATGCCGTGAATTTTGATTGGGAAAAGAATAGGTGCCCCTCGCAAGCATGGAGCGCTCACATCCCTCGATTAACTCGTACCACAAAAGTTGTGAGCATTCTGGGTAATATTTTGGTGTTGGACTTCGAGGGTGGTGGACAACTGCATTGCCATGATTTAGTGTCTAATGCGTCTTGGATAGTCGACACAAGCAAATTTAATGGAAAAACCCAAACAACTTGGTATGGTAGGCGACGAAGTGTTGAAAAGCAATTCAGTTGGTATCGTTTGCTTGGATTATAGGCAAACACACCGTATGTCCATCATTCAAATTTCTTTTTATATTATTATTAAGACTCTTTTCGACTGGTTGATACGCGTTGATTTTTTTTTTTTTATTCGATGATGAAACAATAAAATGGAGTTACCTGCTATTGATTAATGGAGTTGCTTGAATTAAAGGAGGAACAAATAGGAAACTGAAAGGAGAATTACTACCTTATGCTGTTTTGGTAAATTTTGTTGGCCTATTTGCATTTGCTCTTTCTCCCGTCTTATTATCAAGTGTTGGGTAGAAAACTGTCAATGATATTCTTATGCCATTCATTATTATCAAGATAAACAAACACATCCTATCCAAACTATCAATCACACATAACAGATAGAAAAACAATTTAGTATGCACAATACAATCTACCAACCCCGTATTAATTTAGTCTAATCCTATCACACGAAACAAACGAGACCTGGGCATAGGTGAGATATATGTGAAAGGTCATATTGTTCAGGGTTCACAAAAATGCACCACCACCGCAACAATATATAGTTTATTCAATATAAATGAAAGAATAATAGCATCTAAATTGTACAATGATACTCTTTAGGACTCTGCCACACCTGTAAGTACACGTATTCATAGTCTCCTTTTAATCCAACAAAATGTTTAGTTCCTCGACTTGTGTTCGAAAATTGTGAAAACATTTGAAAAAATAATTAAAGCCCCAAGGTCGAGAGAAGTTTGCACCATCTAGGTGTTTTCTCGTCGAAAATGTAGGTCAAAGGGGAAACCAGAACCCCACTTCCTCCAATCTGCACAACAAACATATGCAAAATGAACTAGAGAACAAATCAATAAATAGAAAAATTGTTTATCGCTTTAGAGAAATATATATTTATCTATATTTATACTATTATAAAAGGGGAATGATTTTGTAAAATACTGTACATACAGAAAACCCTTATATTTAGCATAATAATAATGATAAAATTGCAATTATAACAATTGTTTTCAATATAATAGGAATCTAACTATACCCTCTTAAATTAAACTAGTGTATATCCCGTGCGATGCATGGAGGAACTCATATTTTAAACATTTTTTTAGACTTTATTTTAAATATAATTATTTATATTTTTCACGTCTCGTCTATTATGAAAATAAAATAAATGCAAACAACGAAAAATATTTATTATTAAACACTTCTTTATACAATATTTTTTTATTTAAGGAATATTATCAAACCCATATGATTGTTAACGTACAAAAAATAATGGAAATAATCCAGACTTTAAAGTAAAGCTATTTTTTTATTATTTTACAAATAAAAATCATCCAATTTTTTTTTTATTTTTTATTTCAAAAAATTTTGGCAAGTTTGTTAATGAGTTAAATCAAGTTATACAAATGATTAAATAGTTAAACTATTATATTAATTATATTTTTAAGAAATCAGATTATATAAATGTAGGTAAAAAAATATTATGCTAATTAGTTTGTTCGGATTGTGATTATATGGAAGTTAAGATAAAATGAAATGTAACCAAAAATTTTGTTCTTCGTCTTTTCCTTTAAATATTTGAATTTAAAAATCTATAACCAAATTTACATTATATCACATAAGGAAAAAATAAATAATAATATTTATGAATATGTTTAAAAATTTAATTTTGAATTTCAAATAGAGTAGAAGACGGAATAATTCAAATTTGTTTTCAAAATGTTTTTAAAGTGTTTAATCTTTTGGTAAGTATACCCGTAAGAATAATCTTACTGTTTTAATTTTAAAAATCTTGGCAAGTTTGTTAATAAGATAAATTCGGTTAGATAAAAGATTAATTAGTTAAAATATTATATTAATTATATTTTAAAAATTCAGTTATATAATTGTAATTGTATTAATTAGTTTGTTAGGAATGTGATTATATGGAAGTTAAGACTACATGAAATGTACCCAAAAAAATTGCTTAGGATCTTTTTCTTTAAATGTTTGAACTTAAAATTTAAAATTTCGAATTTCGATTATATCACATAAGGAAGAAATAAACAATAAACGTTTATTAATATATTAAAATATGTAATTTTGAATTTTATATAAAGTAAAAGGTATGATAATTAAATTTATTTTTAAAATAAAAGCTATGATAAACATTTATTGTTTCTCTTTCAAAATATTAATAAATAAAATATAAATCTAAACAATTTTGATAAAATTGAATGTACCCAAAAAATCTGTTTGTAATCTTTCCTTTAAACAAAATTGTTTCAATTTTAAACAGAAGATAAACATAATCGGTTGAAAAAAAAGGAAGTCAAATATATTGCAAAAATAAAAATCTATTTTCCCAAATCAAAAGGAACTTGAATTTATTCGATATGGAAGGAATCTCATCCAAAACATATTGAACTCCAAAACATATTGAATTTCGGAATGAAAAAATTTCAAACTTCTGAAAAATTTTCAAACAAAATTTTAGGGGGAAAAAAATGATTTGAGCAGTAAAATGAAATAATTTTTGAAACATTTTTTATTCTAAAAATCAGATATCCTAAAATAAAGGAATTGAGTTATTCATCCATAATACAAATCCATATCAAAATATCAAAATACGATAGAATAGGAATTTCAAATCAATTACAATTCATCTCTTTCCACAATATATGGAATAGGAATTTCAAATCAACTAAAATTCATCTCTTTCCACAATATTTTATTCTAAAAATCAAATTTAAATGGATTTAAACTCGAGATTTTATTTCAAACTCGAGATAATGTGTACGTAAATAGATTGGTTATTTATTTATTTACAAAAGTCTACGTTGGACAAATTTCTAAGAGATTTTTTAACTGATTTTAAACTCTCTTTTAACAACAATATATATATCTTACGATCTACATGCATTTACCGTATTACAAACTGATGTCTTAAAAGAAAAAAAAATCACTTTCTCTGCAATAGATCAATCATTTGGGTTAATTAAAGATGTTGATAGGAACAAGAGAACTATGCTTAAAGTTCGAATTCTGAGGAAGTTTTTTCAAGATAAGAGCAAAACATACAAGTCGCATCTCGAGTTTATTTTGCATGATAAAACTGTAAACGATATGGTTTCGAATTATTTATTCATTAAAAAAGTAAGCATATGTTGAAATTTAGTATTTACATACCATATTAATTATTTTTCAATTTGCTGTTTCAAATTATTTGTCAAGGAAAATCATATAACAGCGTGACTACGGCCAGTGTATTTACCGGCGTTGAGAGAGAGGAATGTTGAAGATTCGGGAACTAACGGCGACAATAATTCTTCTTTCTTTTCTCTTTCTCTTCTTCATTGAACTCATGGATTTATTTATTTTGAGTTTTGAGAATCTGTTTAGTAGCTAAACCTTTTAGAGATTCTAGGATTTGTGAGTGCTCGAATTATTTTATGAAGTGATTTTGTTTATTCATTCCGGTTTATCATTCGTTTATCAATTTCTTGTGTTTATTTTAATTGTGTGAATTTAGGGCCCGTATTTATGCATATTTTTGATTGACTTGAGACCGAGAGGAGATAGTTGATTGCTAGAATTGGCAAATTCATAACGTAAGAGACTAAACAGACCGAGAGGTTGATAGAATCTTGCGAGGGAACTAGAATCTTAAGGGCTTATGGGGAGTTGATTGTTCATCTTGAGACCGAGAGGAGATAGATAACAATTAATATCTACGATTTAACTTATTCGAGAGAAATGTGTAAATTACTTTAGCGATTATTCCTACGAATGGTAGAATTAAATAAGGTTTGAATGAATAATTAATCTTTGCTAGAATAATCTCGAGAAAAACATAGCCTAGAATCTATTTTCTCATTCTTGAATTATCTTAGAGCAAGCCTTCATTAGTGTTAGAATTTAGTTTGCAATCATTCATTAGTTTAGAATAAAATCACCATTCAAATTTGCATTATACTAAATAATATTTAATCGTCACTATTTCAATACTTAATTGACTTAACTACAATCTCTGTGGAATACGACATTGCTCGCCACTCACTATAGCTATACCGTACACTTGCGAGTAGTGAAAATATTTTGCGAACAAACGGCACGTCATATAAACACTCTTACTTACCAAAATAGCGAGTATGTCATTCTAACGGAATAAGAATCACCCTTGGTAAATCAAATAAGTAAGTAATGAATATATATGCCCATTTTATATTATCTTACCGCTTAAGCGTATGCATCAATTACTGAAGGTCTAGATTATAACTGCGATCAATAAATCTTATAATTTTAACCTTTTGTGGCCATGTTCAATACTTAACATAAGTACTAGTGCAATTCTTTAGTCAAAGATCAACTAAATCAAGACTACACTTGTGTTCTTCTCTAGTGGTCCATTTATTGGGCCACTTGTGTTCTTCTCTTCTCGTGTGTTCTCTTCTTCTTCTCTAAGTAATACCAGTAGAAATATCTCTGATTTATCGCCCACCAAGATGATCGGAGTTGATGTCGGGTCATACAACAGAAGATCGGAGTTGGTCAAGTTCCGGCGACGATTGGCCACGGTGGCAGGGCATGTAAACGCCGACTGGCTGCAGCCGCGCATAGGGGCGGCCAGCAGCCACCAGGCTTCATAGCCCAGCGCACAGGCGTCCATCGCAGGCCCAGACATCCAGTTGCTCGCAGGCACAGGGAGGAAGACGTGCAGCCCGTCGCGCGCCTAGAAGCGTGGAGAAGCCCGTGTTGCAGACGGCCCAGGTAAAGGGAAGGCCCAATATGCGAGGGCCCAGGAGAAATAGCGTGCGGGCCGCACAACCTGCGTCCAGCCCGCGCGTGGCCCACACGCCTCACAACTCTCAGCCTGTTTCAGCCCGCGTCTCCTGATCATTCCCAACCCGCGAGAAGCCCACATTGGCCCGCGCCCGCCTGCCTTGCTCCAGCCCAATACCGCATGGCCCAATGCATGTTACGTGGCCCATTTCGCGTCCAGCTTCTCCAGCGCGGCCCAGTGAAGCTCTAAAGGGCTCAGACTTG